CCCCGGCCCCGCCCCTCGGGATACCCCGAACCCGACCCCTTCCCCTCGCCGCCTTCTAGCTCCCAGAGTCCTGTTCCTCCTCCCTGGAGCTCCAAAGACTAGCCCCTCTCCAGGTTATCCGAGAAACGAACAAACTCTCGCTGTGTCCTCCCCTCCATCCCGAATAAAGTCGTCAGCTAAAGCACTTGGTGTGGCTGCTTCTTGGGGAAATGGGACGGAGAATGAGAATTGCCAGAAAACGATAGGTGTCTCACTTCCAATCCTCGGGTCCTAGAGTTGGCGACTGATTCACACTAGAGTGTAAATTGTGGATGGCCTGTGACCTGAAGCATTCGTCATAGCCTGGAAGAGCCAGGTGTTGGAATGGCGGGGGCGTCAGAGGGGCTGATGGGGCGGGGTGTGCATTCCCACTGTGCCACCAGGGCAGCAGAGAAGCTGCCTAATTGTAGAGACCTCAAGACACACTTCATGGCTTTCCCTTCCCTTCTCAATAAGCAGGCCCAAGGGCTTCTAGCTCAAGGTACCCCTTCCCTCTTCTCTCCCATCTCCTATACCCCAGTCTCAGACCTAAGGCAAAGGACTGGACTCAGATTCGGGATTCCAGTTGTGACCACTACTCTTAATTCTCTTTCTCTCCATAGGCCCTAGGAGAGCCCCAGTTTCCCCACCTGTAAAACAGGCAATGTCCTTTTCAGTTCTGTTCAACAGAGCAGGATTAATGGATGCCTCCTGTGTCTCAGGCACTACCCTGAGATAAATCGATCAGGCCCATTCCTTGTCCTCAGAGAAAATTGAACAGCATGAGGAGAGAACAGACCCACTGGGGGAGTAGCCCGACAGAAAAACCCAGCTCAAAGTGTCTTTAGCCAGTGATAAGCTTCAGGAATGTCTGTATCTAGGTGCTTAAATGATGTTAGAAATCTATCTGAGCTCGGCTGGGTGGCTCAGCCTGTAATCCTGCACTTTGGGAGGCTGAGGTGAGTGGATTGCCTGAGCCCGCCTGAGCCCGCGGGTTCGAGACCTGCCTGGGCAACTTGGCGAGACCTCATCTCTATAATAAATCAAGAAATTAGCTGGGCATGGTAGCGCGTGCCTGTAGTTCCATCTACTCGGAAGGCTGAGGTGGAAGGATCGCCAGAGCCCAGCAGATCGAGTCTGCAGTGGCCGGGAGTGACCACTGCACTCCAGTCTGGGTGACAGAGTGATACTCCAACTCAAAAAAAAAAAGAAAGAAATCTATTTGTATCTTTTTGTTGCTATGCTCTTGACACAATCTTTCCACAGTAGCAAAGATGAACCAGAAACTTCATGATTCTACCTGATAAAAAGTTCTGATTTCTCTTTAAAGGCAGCAAAGATTGCTGGGCAGCCTGCCACTGATCCAGCCTCAGTATGAACACACCACTGAACCTAGGGAAGGCTGTGCTCTCATTGGCCTGTTCTGAGTTATGAACTTGTGTGTGAAGAACCATCGTGGGGGTCAGTTCCACTTGAACCACATGGACTGAGAATGGGGGAGGGGTGGTGTCCCCTCCTTCCCCCCAAGGAAAGCTAGGTGCTGGAACCAGGAAGGGAGAAGGAGTGCCGGGCAGAGAATCAAAATATGCAGACTAGAGATGGGCAGGAACAACGGTGTGTAGTATGTCTGTGTTCACAACCCAGTTCCACCACTTGCTCATCCTGTGGCATTGGACAATGCTACCCAGGCTTTCTAAGCCTCAGTTTCTTTTATTTTTCTTTCATGTCAGATAGGTAATGTGCTGATATCATAACAAGGTTTGAAGAAGACACATCTCACACATGGGCATGAAAACCCAATCATCACGCTTGTGAACCACAAAGCATGTAAGGATCAGGAACCTCAGTTTCTCCATCTGTAAAATGGGAACAACATGATCCTTTCACAGGCTTGGTGGGAGAATTCAATGAGTTAATGCGAGTTGTTTTGGTGATTCATCACTATGTACCAAATAGCTTCAAATTTAGTGGAAAAAAAATCACAAGCTGGGTACAGAGCCTCACACCTGTAATCCTAGCACTTTGGAAGTCTAAGATGAAAGTATCACTTGAATCCAGGAGTTTGAGACCAGCCTGAGCAACATAGCAAGAAACTGTCTCTATAAAAAAGAAAAAAGTATAAAACCAAGTCATTATTATCATTCATGTTCTGGGGTTTGACTGGGCTCAGCTGGGTGGTTTTGCCCAAGACCTCTTATGCACTTGCATACAGTGACTGGGGCTGAAATCACTTTGAAGTCTTCCTCACTCACCTATCTAGTAGTTGGCGCTATTGTTGCCTTGAACTTCAGCTAGGATAGTGGGCCAGATTAGCTACATGTGGCCTCTCCCTGTCTTGGGCTTTCTCACGACTTGGCAGCTAGGTTCTAAGGGAAATGTCCTGAGAGAAAGCCAGGTAGAAGTTGTCCTACCTTTGATAACCTTAGAAGACACATAGTGTCACAACTCTGCTTTTTTTCACTACAGTGAGTCATTCAAGCCACAAATATTCAAGGGGAGATGTCATAGACACAACCTCCTAATGGGAGAGATGTCAAATAAAATACTTAGAAAGTGAGGCACAAAGCGTGGCACAGTAGCTCACGCCTGTATTCCCAGCACTTTGGGAGTCGGAGGTGAGAGGATTACCTGAGTTCGGGGGTTCAAGACCAGCCTGGGCAATTTGGCGAGACCTCATCTCTACAATAAGTCAAAAAATCAGCCGGGCATGGTAGCACGTCTGTGGTTCCAGTTACTTGGAAAGCTGAGGTAGAAGGATCACTTCAGCTCAGCATGCCGAGGCTGCAGTGGCTATGAAAGTACCACTGCACTCTAGCCTGGGTGACAGGGTGGGACTCTGACAAAAAAAAGTGTGGCACATGGCAGGGTACTGTGACTCACAACTGTAATCCCAACACCTTAGGAGGCTGAGGCAGAGGATTACTTGAGGCCAGGAGTTTGAGACGAGCCTGGGCAACATAGCTAGATCCCATTTCTATTAAAAAAAAAAAAGGCCAGGCCTGGTGGCTCAACCTATAATCCCAGCACTTTGGGAGGCTGAAGCAAGTGAATTGCCTGACCCCGCAGGTTCGAGACCAGCCTGGGCAACTTAGTGAGATCTTGTCTCTACAGTAAATAAAAAAAAATTAGCTGGGTATGGTAGTGCACACCTGTAGTTCTGGCTACTTGGAAGGCTGAGGTGGAAGGATTGCCGGAGTCTAGCACTCCACCCTGGGTAATGAAGCAAGACTCCAACTCAAAAAAACAAACAAACAAATTACAGACTAGACATGGTGGCTCACGCCTGTAATCCTAGCACTTTGGGAGACTGAGGTGGGAGGACTGCTTGAGCCTAGCTGTCTGAGACTAGCCTGGGCAACATAGCAAGATTTTATCTCTATAAAATAAATAATTATTCATGCATGGTGGTGTGTGTCTGTAGTTCCAGTTACTTGGGAGGCTGAGGTGGGAGGCTCATTTGAGCCCCGGAGTTCAAGGCTTCAGTGAGCTATGATCATACTACTGCACCCAAGCTTGAGCAGCAGAGTGAGACCCCAATTCTAAGAAATAAGTGGCACATAATTAGCATTCAAGAAATGTAGACATCATCTCTTATAACTGTTTGTTGTGGATGATGATATGTGCTGTGTTACTGATGTCATAGACTGAGTTATTGTGATAAGGAGGATGAGAAAGTATTTGAGGAAGAAAAGTGAGGCAAGTCCTTGAAGAGTCTCCAGGCAGATGACCAAACCATGGAGAAGGGCACTCCTAGCAGGAGGTCTAAAGGGTTTTAAAAATATTTTTACACTTTTCAATTTTTATTATTATTATTTTTTTGAGTCCATTGCCCAAGCTGGAATGCAGTGTCATGCTCGCGGCCACCCCAGCATCAACCTGCTGGGTTCCGGCGATCCTTCCGCCTCAGCCTTCCAAGTAGCTGGATTATAGGCATGTACTACCACGCCCGGCTAAATTTTTTTATTTATTGTAGAGACGAGGTCTCACCAAGTTGCCCGGGCTGATCTCGAAGCCATAGGCTCAGGCAATCCACTTGCCTTGGTCTCCCAAAGTGGTGGGATTGCAGGCTGAGCCACTGAGTCCAGCCTATTTTTATTTTTGAGTTGGCGTCTCACTCTGTCAAGCCACCATGCCCAGCTAAGGAGGCCTAAATGTTTAATGTACTGGGAACTCCAAGCTGCTGCACAAACTTGGAGAAGATCATAGGAAAAGGGATCCAATCACAGATCATGGATGCCAGGCAAAGGAACTTGAACCTGAGGATAGAGTATGATGCCAGGCATGGTAGCTTGAGCCCACAGTCCCAGCAGCTCAGGGGGCTGAGAGGATCGCTTGCAACCAGGAATTCAAGACCAGCCTGGAGAACACAGCAAGATCCCATCCCTAATGAAAAAAATTTTAAATGCTGGGTGCAGGCTGGGAGTGGTGGCTCGTCTGTAATCCCAGCACTTTGGGAGGCCGAGGCGAGAGGAACTTGGTGAGACCTCATCTCTACAATAAATCAAAAATAGCTAGGCGTGGTAGCACGTGCCTGTACTTCCAGCTACTTGGAAGGCTGAGGAGGAAGGATCGCGGGAGCCAGGCAGGTTGAGGCTGCGGTGGCCAAGAGTGTGCCATTGCCCTCCAGCCTGGGTGACAGAGTGAGACTCCAACTCAAAAAAAAAAAAAAAAAAAATAAGCGGGGGGGG